ACTGTTTACCGTTTCTGTGCAGCTTTCTGTTTGATTTTACCCTCAGAATACAACTTAACATGGGTTCTTTTTTCGAGTTTCAGTACCCTCCACAGACATTTCTTACATCCTGACAGTTAAAATTATCACATGCGACGAAGTTCACCACTCACTGATTAGGTGGATGTTTTCATAGCCTGTACGTGCATTTGTTGTAGAGCAAGTTTGTAATGAGTCTGTGCCCTTTAACCTTGTCCCTGGAAAAAAATACAGCTTCCAGGCCTGCTTAAATTTAAGTGGGCGTAGTGTTCAATAATGTGTAACAAATTACGTGCTTGTTCTACTTATGACCTGACCCCCATTCATAATGTTGCAGTCTACAGTCATTTCAGTTTGACGCATTTTTGAGAGGAATCGATTGAGTATCGCCGTTAATGTAATATTATCTCTTGTATCTCACTGTGATCTCGTAATCAGTGACCGAGTTGGTTGCCTTACCAATTTTGCCTGTGGTCAGACTTATTTTAATATTTTCTCAAATTCTCAGTTTAATATAAGACTAAGATGACACTGGAGGCCCACACAATGAATGTGTAAGAATATATCATTAGTGCTCGTAGCTGTCTTGAATCAATATCAGTTTTCTGGTTACCAGTAAAAATCAAACTTTATTTTTAGCCCTCCACGATATAGCATGGGTCAACGCGACCGAAGTCATCGCTCGAAACCCGAAGGTTACTACAGTAAATACGTGCTTTGAAATGGATCTCACCGGTCAGAGTGCGGCGGATGGCATTGGAGAATTTATCTTCTCAGGTATGCTGCTAATCCCTTTGACTTATTCGTTATGACTTCGTGATGGACAATTTTGTTTTCAGTGGTTCTGTCCAAAAGTCCAGAATTTAATTTTTCGGCTGAAATATCGTTCTTTAAGGCGATTATAACAATGCATTGGTTGTTTTCTTATCATTACCGCTTTACATATAATGCTTTTGATGGATAATAGCAGCACAACATTTGGAAAGTGTTAGCTATGGGGATAAATTTCCTGACATGAAGATGAACTGTATATAAGACCAACCACGTTCGTTAGGTTGAAAAAGCGCACCATATAAGTAGGCATAGTCGAGGGCGGGAGCTGAATACATTTACACCTATTACAAAC